GCAAGCTGAGGTAAATAATTTATGACTATTGTGATAACAAAATAATATCTTCTGGGAGTAAAAACACCAATATAAAGTCTGCACATAATGTCCGAATTCGTTTGACTCGGCGAGGTACAAACTGTAGACCACTTTCCCCCTATTTCCAGCCATCTTCCCATCCGACTGAAAGCGGGTATGTCATGCCCAGCCGTGGCGATTGGCTCTTACGACCTCCGCCGAATCGCAGGCGGAAATATGTTGATCTGGTGGGATGAAGAGTCTTACTGTGTGTTCGTTGAAGGCTGTGTTTGGCCCTTGGGTTATAACCTTGTGGACGCCAGTCCTTGCGTCAATCGTAAGTAATGTAAGGTATACACAGGTAGATTCTAGACTCTGGGATGAGGAAAAGAGGCCCCCCACCCCGCAGTACGTACGGTGGGCCCCGGGCACCTCTGCCGCGGCCCCTGGGGGGGTAACCATGTATTACGATAACGATAGCGATCGATAAGCATCGCATGTTATGTCCTCATTCGCCCGAAGCATCACTCCCATCCTCGCATCTCACGCCTGTCATTTCCTTGTTTCATCTTCCCAACGCGGCGTTGGTGTTGCCGTGCTGGATCCTTGGTTATGGCGTCTCAAGAGGTTGACAGGACGCTCCAGCGGCTTCCGGACGAAATTCTGCTCAGAATCTTCACGTGTAAGCAAGCAACGTTCATTCCGTCTCGTCTCAAGTCACTCGGCTGATGGAGCGACGTGCCCCTCACTAGATCTGGAGCCCCAAGACTTCCCCAGTCTGCAGCTCGGATGTCGTAAGCTTCGCGAAATCTCATTAGACAACAGTCATTGGAGATCAAGAACGTTTGAAGACTCGCCCTTTCTAGAGACTCTTGAGCGGCGCCGTCGCATGGCCAGAGTTCTTGACGGAGACGTACTCAATGAACCTTTACTCGATGTTGCTGTTTCTCTGAACCAAGAGATTGACGCCGCAGAACCAAAAGTACAAGCCGTCCATGGAACATCGGCTGCGCGAAAGGAACGGCGTTTCCGTGAAATCGCCAATTGGGACCCAACATTTCCCGGCGAATCCGTCTGCTGGTATGACGAATACATCCAGCGCAATGCACCTGTGACCACCAGCTGGCTGCAACAACCTTGCATTCGAGACGGCAGCTTCGAGGATCTACTGGATGTACGAGGCGTTGCGCTGTATAATCCTCCAGACGATCCGGGGAACATGCTGGCCGTATCACCGCTTGACGACGGCTCAATCTGTCTCTGGGATGTCAAAGGCCGGAGGGGCCGTAAAGGTGCCATAGTAGCCAAGAGCGCCCCCGGCATTCTTCATATCGACGGGCCAGGTGCTGTTGGCCGGTCACGCAAGATCGATGCCGGTGTCACAGAGTGCATCAGCGTAGACAGCCAAGGGAAAAGGGCTTTCGTTGCTGTGCAGGGCCATCTCAAGGAAGTTGACCTCGAATGTCTGGCTGTGGTGTCAGACCAGTCCTTCGAATGGTCCATTGCGGCGCTTTCAAGTGCACACGTTGATTGCCCCCTGACCGTGGGCACTTCCCTGGGCATCCACCTTTACGACTATAGGGCAAGACATCACCGGCCCCACGATGCGATAGACCGGATTTTCGATACGGATCCGCTACCACAGTACGCGCCCCTTTCTCAACCTCACCCGCTCAGCATCCTGCATCTCCCAATATCAAGCGATGGCACTGTCCTTTCAGACGACATATACGTGGCCGGACGGTTCAGCAACATTCTGCATTATGACCGGAGAAAACTTGCGCCCATTGTCGGGAGCATCCACTCGGGTGCCAGGCTTGCCAGTCTTGCCTCTCTCCCACACTCGTTCTCGCCCCTGGACACCGAGGTCCGCCGCAACGGCGAGCTCTCGGTCGATCAGGTGCGCGAGTCGAAGGAAAAGCCGGGACGGACGCTCATTGCCGGAGGTGAATACAACACCAAGGGCTCCCTGGAACTTTACGCACTCTCGAACACGGACAGGGCTCAGAGCGGCAGGCAGCACAATTCGAATTTCAAGAATCGATACAACGCCTCGCAGTCTAAGATTCTGTCGGTCATCACGCACGGTACGTGCATAGTGTTCTCCGACGGATCCGGCTATATCAAGTGGTTCGAGCGGGATGGCTTCACCGAGGTGCGGCGCATGAGGATCGGGCAAAGTGAGCCCATCAATCGGCCATCTCTGTTCTCGCAGATGCCGGGCATCGATGACCTGGCGAGGAAGATTCTGTCGACGCAGATGCCCGGCCAGTCGGAACGAATCAACGACGGCGAGATTCTGTTCTGGACTGGTGAGAAGCTGGGCCTGGTCAGTCTCTCCAAGACGCCGAGATTCAAACCCAGCGACTTTAGCGACCGAGAACCAAAAACGGAAGAGGAGATGCATCTTGAACAGCAGGAGGCGGAATATTCTGAGCGCATGAGGACAGCTCTGGAGCGGCAGGCGGATGACGTGCGACTCGTGAGAGACCTTGGTCTTGGAGCATAATGGCAGAGATGGACGATGAATGATGTGAAGAGGATGACACGGCCCACGCCTGGAACGTTGAGGCACCAACGATCAGCCTTGAAAAAACAGTGATACCCTATCGAGTAGCAAATGCTGTAATGAATGCGAAGAGGGATTGATGGTACCCAACCCCTTGGTCCCACGACCCTTGGGGCCGGTGTCGTGAAACTACTTGGGTTTGGCGATGCGGGTCTGGAGACGCAATGCTGGAGGGGGGAAAGCTCTGTTATTGTCCCGTTCATGGTGGTAGAGATTGACAGGCTGCGGGCCCGGGGCAAGTTGGTATTTGAGTCGCGTGCATACGAAGCTGGATCCTGGGGCCACGTATTGGTGTCCGATTACGAGTGTTAGGCCTTTCTTTCAATATCCTGTTCGTTCAAACTACCTAAAGTACCTGAGTCCCCTCATGTACCTAGATACATGCGGAATGCCAGGAACCGATGGTGGCGCTAGTACCAAGCGAATCCGATGGCCCCGAGACTCGACTCGATTGAGGCTGAGCCATCGTCCCGGCTGATTCTCGGACGATTGCGTATGGGAACTCGTCAGGCACGCCGCCCGCCCAACCTAGCCGGCCGGGCCAAGGAAGGCCAGGTAGGTGCAGCTCCGCCGCCAACATCTCAGGAACCAGCCACAGCGCACTGCGTAATCCCCCCCCCATGAATTCCAGCGTCATTGCCTAGGCAAGCAACTTCACAAAGATTGCGCATTTCTTTCTGATTCTGCATCCCAACTCACCGTCAAAGCTGCCGCCCAGCTACACCAACTGCGCATCGATACTACCTTCCCTCCTCCCCCCCGCCAGAAACGCCCATCATGGTGAGACACTCCGCGCGCCCAACTTCGGGTGCTCCAGGCTCCCGTCTGTGGCACACCGCCCGAGGGCAACTGAACTGACGATCGCACCTCCGAGTTGTAGGGTTTCGCGAGACGACCGAAAGATAGGAAAGCCCAGGCGGGCGCATCGGGCCAGGGCGGCGCAGCGGCGAGACCCAAGAAGGCCACCTACGAAGTTACCAAGAAGAAGGAAATTGGCGTGTCCGACCTTACGTTGCTCAGTAAGGTGTCCAACGAGGCGATCAACGACAACTTGAAGAAGCGATTCGAGGGTCGCGAGATCTACACATACATTGGCCATGTGCTGGTATCTGTTAACCCCTTTCGCGATCTCGGCATATACACCGAGGAGGTTCTTGACAGCTACAGGGGCAAGAACCGTCTCGAGGTGCCGCCGCACGTCTTTGCCATTGCCGAGTCGGCGTACTACAACATGAAGGCCTACCAGGAAAACCAGTGCGTCATCATCTCGGGCGAGTCGGGCGCTGGCAAGACCGAGGCGGCGAAGCGCATCATGCAGTACATTGCCAGTGTATCAGGAGGCGAGTCTGGAGACATCAAGCAGATCAAGGACATGGTGCTGGCCACAAACCCCTTGCTCGAGTCCTTTGGCAATGCCAAGACGTTGCGGAACAACAACTCCTCCCGCTTCGGCAAATACCTCCAGCTGCACTTCAACGCCCAAGGCGAGCCAGTGGGAGCCGACATCACGAATTACCTCCTCGAGAAGACGCGAGTCACTGGCCAGATTACCAACGAGCGCAACTTCCACATCTTCTACCAGTTCACCAAGGGTGCTTCGCAGACCTACCGACAGCAATTCGGCATCCAAACGCCCGAGACATACGCTTACACGAGCCGATCAAAATGTTTCGACGTGGACGGAATCGACGATCTCGCCGAGTACCAGGACACACTGAACGCCATGAAGATTATTGGTCTCAACCAGGCGGAACAGGATGAGATTTTCCGTATGCTCGCGGCTGTACTGTGGACGGGTAACATCCAGTTCCAGGAGGACCAGGAGGGATATGCCGCCATCACGGATCAGTCCGTCGTGGACTTCCTGGCTTACCTACTGGAGGTGACGCCTGAGCAGCTTGTCAAGTCCATCACGATTCGAATCCTCACCCCCCGCAACGGCGAGGTCATTGAATCCCCGGCCAACCCCGCTCAGGCCATTGCCACGCGCGATGCCCTCGCGAAAGCCATCTACAACAACCTCTTCGACTGGATCGTCAACCGCGTCAACCAATCTCTCAAGGCCAAGCAGGCTTCCAAGAACGCCATCGGCATTCTTGATATCTACGGTTTCGAGATCTTCGAGAAGAACACTTTCGAGCAACTGTGCATTAACTACGTCAACGAGAAGCTGCAGCAAATCTTCATTCAATTGACGCTGAAGACGGAGCAAGAAGAATACGCGAGGGAGCAGATCCAGTGGACACCCATCAAGTATTTCGACAACAAGATTGTCTGCGACCTCATTGAATCTACAAGGCCACCTGGTGTCTTCTCCGCCATGAAGGACGCCACCAAGACGGCTCACGCTGACCCGGCCGCTTGCGACCGTACATTCATGCAGAGCGTCAACAGCATGTCTAACCCTCACCTGACACCCCGGCAGGGCAGCTTCATCATCAAGCACTACGCAGGTGACGTGAGCTACACGGTCGATGGCATCACGGACAAGAACAAGGATCTGCTTCTCAAGGGTCTTCTCAACTTGTTCCAAACGAGCGGGAACCAGTTCGTACACGCGCTCTTCCCTAACCAGGTCGACCAGGACAACCGAAAGCAGCCCCCATCCGCCGGCGACCGTATCCGTAGCTCAGCCAACGCTCTGGTGGAAACACTGATGAAGTGCCAGCCATCTTACATTCGCACGATCAAGCCGAACGAGAACAAGTCGCCGACTGAATACAACGTTCCGAACGTCCTGCACCAGGTCAAGTACCTCGGTCTGCAAGAGAACGTCCGTATCCGTCGTGCGGGCTTCGCGTACCGGCAGTCATTCGAGAAGTTTGTCGACCGCTTCTTCCTCTTGTCGCCTGCAACATCGTATGCCGGCGAGTACACCTGGACGGGGTCATATGAGGCCGCGGTCAAGCAGATCTTTAAGGACACGAGTATTCCGAAGGAAGAATGGCAGATGGGTGTGACCAAAGCGTTTATCAAGTCGCCTGAGACCCTGTTCGCTCTCGAGCACATGCGTGATCGTTACTGGCACAACATGGCTACACGAATCCAGCGCATGTGGCGCGCTTACCTTGCTTATCGTGCCGAGTCTGCAACTCGCATTCAACGCTTCTGGCGCAAGAAGAGAACTGGCGCCGAGTACCTGCACCTTCGAGACCACGGCCACCAGGTCCTGGGAGGCCGCAAGGAGAGGCGCCGTATGAGTCTTTTGGGCTCAAGGCGTTTCCTCGGGGACTACATGGGCCTCAACGCCTCGACTGGCCCTGGTGCGCAGATCCGCAACGCTGTCGGTCTGGGAGGTAACGAGAAGGCCGTTTTCTCGTGCCGTGGTGAGATTCTCGAGGCCAAGTTTGGTCGCTCCAGCAAGCCTAGCCCCCGCACCATTGTCGTGACGAACAGCAAGTTCTACATCATCGCTCAGATGCTCGTCAACGGGCAGCCCCAGATCACGGTCGAGCGTGCGGTGCCGCTTGGTGCCATCAAGGGTGTCAGCGCTTCGAACGCCCAGGACGACTGGTTCTCGCTACTGATCGGATCCCCCCAAGAGGCTGATCCTCTTCTGAACTGCGTTCTCAAGACTGAGCTTTTTACTCAGATGCAGCGCGTCATGCCCGGAGGATTCAATCTTCAGATCGCTGAGGCAATCCAGTACGCCAAGAAGCCAGGCAAGATGCAGCAGGTCAAGGTGCTCAAGGACTCACCACAGTCCGTGGACTTCTACAAGAGCGGTGCTATTCACACCCGTGCTGGAGAGTCCCCCCAGTCGAGGTCGAGACCTACGCCAAAGGGCAAGCCGGTGCCGCCTAGGCCGATCACTCGTGGCAAGCTCATCCGACCTGGTGGTCCCAATGGCCGACCTGCCAGGAACCAGCCCACCACCGCACGCAAGCCTCAGCCTCGGCCAGTTCCGACTCCGGCCGCTGTTGTTGTCCCCGCCGCCGCCTCCACAGCCAGGCCCGTACCCTCTTTCGCGCAGCCGGCTGCTCAGCAAACGCAGGCGGCTGTTCATGCCCCACTGCCCTCCCATACCAGGAACACCTCGGCGACGTCTTCCCGGGGCCCTCCTCCGCCCCCGCCTGCTCCTCCCGCCAAAGCCAAGGTCATTGCTAAGGTGCTGTACGACTTTGACGGGCAGAAGGAGAATGAGCTGTCCATCAAGGCGGGCGATATCATTGAAATTGTGCAGAAGGAGAACAATGGTATGTCTATCGACGCGCGAGGCTGAAAACAACGTACTGACTAGATCCAAGGGTGGTGGCTCGGCAAGAGTGGCGGCCAGCAGGCCTGGGTGCCCGCCGCGTACGTCGAGGAGATGGCGCAAGAGCCGGCTCCGAGGGCACCTCCCCCGCCCCCTGCCAAGCGCCCGGCTGCGGGTCGCAAGCCCGCCGCCCTCTCCGCGCAGCAGCCTCGGGATTCGGTCATCAGCAACGGCGCAAGTGGGTCCGACAACAGCCGCAGCAACACGCCGACGCCGAGTCTTGGCAACAGCTTGGCCGACGCGCTGCTGGCGCGCAAGAACGCCATGCAGAAGAAGCAGGAGGATGACGATTGGTGATCGAGGCTGGTCCTTCCCACGGGCATGCAAAGTTGTGTTGATCTGATGGCTTGATGAACTTTGACGATGCTCAACAAGTCCTTTTTTTTTTATATGTTTCCTCTGACAGCCCGCACACGGGGGCATGCAGGCACGACAAGCGACCTCTTTTGTTTCGCTTTCTCGTCGCGTAGGGGATCGCAGAGGTGACGCGCTCATGTGGCCAGAAGAGCAGACCGAAGGGGGTCCTGTTACTTTCGCCGCGGCAAGCCAGATCGGCTCGGGAAGCGGGGAGGGAAGCTGGGTCTGGCTGCCCATCTTGTAGAGATAGAGAGCTCTCGGCCGGGGGAGGATGGTCAGCGTCGCGTTTGGCGCTGGATCGGCGTGATGCTCGCTTTTTGTCTAGATTTTTACTGAAAAAGAAATTGTTGCTACTTTTTTTTGGTTCTCCATGTCCCATATTTCCTCTCGCTACGTGAACTCGTATCTGCTCGATGTCATTACTCCTCGCCGTCCTTTTGGCGGATTTTTCTCCGACGCAGAAGCTCTGCCAGGGGCACGTCGTCATCGGCTTCGCCGACGATGGTGTGGCGGAGGCCGACTTCTGTGTTCTCGGCGTCCTCGTCGACGCCGTAGTCGTACAGCCTCTCGCCGTCCGAGTTGGTCCAGGCCGCACCGCCCGCAGCGTCGTGCAGGCGCACGCCGTCCTCCGCATCCCCGTCCAGCACGTCGTAGTCCTCGCCCTCCTCGAGCTCCTCCATAATCTCGGCCCTGCTACCCTCCCACCGCCGGAGGTCGGCCTCCTGGCGGCGGCGAAAGGCAGCCATGTCCTCGGCGGGGGTCGTGTACCGCGGGCCCTGGCCCTCCCTGTCGAGGGCGGCCCTGGCGGCGGGCCAGGCGCCGCGGCCGCGCATCTTGTTGGGGTCAGGCGGCGGCCACATGCCCTCGCGCGCGTTGAAGCCGTTCTCCTCGTACGTCCAGCCGGCGCCCTGGCCCTCGACGGGCGAGACGGAGGGGCCGGCGGCCCAGGGGGCGAGCCAGAGGAGGGGGTTGCGGGTGCCCATGGCGTGGGCGAGGTTGGCGAAGAGGCCGAGGTCGTAGGGGAACTCGACGCGCTGGTAGGGGGCGCGGCCGGCGTCCCACCAGGCGCGGCCGCCGCGGTTGGCGACGAGGTCATCGTGGCGGTCGGCCTCCCAGGACTCGATGGTCGTCATGTTGAAGAGCCAGTGGTAGGTCGTCGTGGCGAGCATGATGCCCAGGGCGACCGAGGTGAGAAAGTCAACGCCCGCGAGGCAGGCGAGGTGGGTCAGGGCCGGCAGCGAGGGACCCAGGTAGGCCGGCAGGCGGCGGTCGGACCAGAGGGCGGCGAAGCGGAGGAAGAGGAGGTAGGAGAGGTAGGCGAGGGCGAGGTTGGTGTAGACGAGGAAGCGGAGAAAGTGCGGCAGCGTCGTCAGCGAGACGCAGTTGGTCGTCCAGGGGCAGTGGTGGTCCATCTTGGGAATGCAGCGGCGGCACGTCCGGCAGTGGTGGGCGCGTGGCGGCTTGGGGGCCTCGCACTTGCGGCACCAGCGGGCATAGCTGTTGAGGTTGAGGTTGTCATCGCGGGACGGGTTCGTCTCGTTGCCATTGTTATCGTCGGGCACCTCAAGGATCTTGGAGGTGAAGATGTAGCGACCAGGATCGACGGTGCATGCCTTGTAGTAGGTGAACCACAGACACAACAGAAGGCCATTGAAGGTGTAGAGCTGTGATGATGTGAGGGGGCCAGGGGCCAGATCGGCCGCTGTGAGGAAGAGGTACTGAGAGGAGTACCCTAGGAAGAGAATGAGCAGGGTCACGCCAGGGACGGCCAGCTTCTGGATGATGGGGGCATCATTGAAGCCAGCCATGTCTCCATCAATCTCTGGCGGCTGTGCACGTTCGCCTCGAACTGTGTAGACGATGGATTACAAAGGAGAAGGCTGTGTGATCAGAGGGGTCAGAATGTGGTCAACGTAGATTGTGTCAGATGGAAGCTGCCTGTCCTGTTACGTGCGCCGTGCACGGATCCTCCTGTACAGGGAGCAGGAGCTTGACGCGGGTCCTGGGACGGAGACGCGTTGAGTGGCTCCGTTCGGCTTACCTAAGACAATGATGACTTGTCTGCCCCTGAAGAGCGTCGTCACGGCCGCCGTTGGTTGTCCCTTGGCTCAAGATCAAACACACGCCTCCCATCATCTCGTCCCTCCTTGTCCTGGCCTTCGTCTTGAAAAGGCTCCGCTGGCTTCAACAAGGCTCAAACATCTAATGGGTTGACAGGTCGCTGGGAATTTAAGCCAGTATCTGACACGACGCCATATCCCTGGCTACCTGGGTACCCACCACTACCAACCTGGGTAACTACCAACCTGGGTATCTCGATTTCGAGCGACCAAGCCTCATCTCAACGGTCTTCCCCAATGAGGTGCTAGGAGGCTGAGTCCTCCACCTCGCTGCAATGGCACAGAATGGGCGACTCCATCTCACTGCCCTCTGGTGAGCTCTGCACGCCTCGACCAGCAGCTGCTCGTATGGAAAGTTAATGGGAGACAGCGCATTGACATCCTTCATTTGGATCTCTTACAACTTTGAGCATCACACGTTGAACCGTGAGTCTCACACACAACATACGCCCCCTGCATGTAGATAGACTGACGTCCTGGGGCAGAACGCCCACGCTACGCGCTTGCCATTGTACTCCTTCTATCGGCCGGTCTCACATGGCTCGTCAGCTACTCATCAAAATGGCTTCCCGGCTCCGACGCCAGATTCGGTCAGCATCATCCCTTTCCAAGCACTTGTTCCACTCGTGACTAAGAAGCCTCCAGATGAGAAAACCCCTGGTCAGACTTCGGCGCTCTCCAGTAGCGAGCACGCGCCCCTGAGCCTGCCCCGACGACCGCGTCGTTACTTCATCCCCATCATCGTGTTCTGCATCATCATTCGAATCGAGCTCTTCCACCAGACTGCCGCCAAGATCCAATGCTCCGTACCTGGCATTGAGGTGGAGTTTTCTGATCTCTTCCTTCCCAGTGACCAGAGCTGACATCACCTCCAGGCTTTCTTCTGCACCCTCGTGGTCGTATACGATGTGTTTTTCGGTCGCAAGTCGCAGTCTGACGTACTGCCGTGGCCCACTGACCCTTGGGTCACAGTCGCCGACGAGCTCCAGCAGTGGTTCAAGACGACACGGCTGACCCTGGTCGCAAGCGTCGTCTTGTTCAATCTAGGCGCATACCTAGCTGCCGCTGACAAGGTTCACTCGACGTACTTTTGCTCGACACTCTTCGACAACCGATTCTGGATCGTTTCTATGCAGGTGATCGGCCTTGTTCTTGATGGTGTTATTGCTGTCCTCCTTTGGCGAGTCCTCGTATTTACCAAATCCACGAGGGCTCGCCTTCGAACCCTCAGTGGTATTCAGTTGACCGTGGGGGCCTTCGACTGGACCATGCATATCCTCTTGACTCTCCGCCCCACCGTCCAGCCCACTGGTGTCAACGGTCTGGGCTGGCTGTACTTGTTCGACTTGATCAACGACAGCTTCACCTTCTGTCTTCTCGTTGTTTCTCTGAGCCTGCTGGTCACCGAGTCCGGTCCCGTCAAGCCTTTTGGTATTCTTACGTTCACCTCCAGCCTCCTGACCTCTTACCAGGCGTTGTCTTCCGTGGGGGATGCGTACGGCGGCGCAAAGATCGCAACCCTTGGACCTTTCATCCTGACTGCGACCGGCTTCGGTCTCTTCATGTACACGGCCAACCTGCGCTCCGTCCTCTTTGTCAGGCGCGCGTTCCTACTTTTCGTCCTGACAGCTGCCATCATTGGATCGACCGTCTACGTCATTCTGACGAATCAGGTCCTCAACAAACATCCTCTCGACACGTTTATATACGACGCTCGCACCGAAGCAGACCGCTGGTTGACCCATGCATCCGTGAGTAGGAGTTTGAAAGTGGCTGTTCAGGAATACCAGGCACGGCATGATGGCAGAGACCCCCCTCCGAATTTTGATAAGTGGTATGAGTTTGCGATAGCAAAGAGCTCCGTCATTGTGGACCATTTCCAGCAAATTGAGAATGACGTGGCCCCCTTCTGGTCCCTGAAGCCAAACAGCATTCGAAAGTCGACGTTAGACCTCGCCGCCAACGAGGCCGAGCTTGCTCTCGTCCAGGTCGCTAACAAGAAAGTGACGCACAACTACAAGGCCGAGGACGAGCACCGCCAGGCCTTAGATGACCTCGTCCAGATGATTGGAACTTTTTCCGAGTATTTGTCCGATATGGATCTGCCCATCAACTTGAGTGGCGAGCCGCGTGTGCTTACGCCTTGGTCGGATCTTGGGCAGCATCCGCGACAGGCGCTAGACGGGAAGTATCATATGAACACCAGGCGCTCGGAAGAGGCGAAAGATTCTACAACGGCCGGACAGACCCCTGACGTGCCTGGTAGCAAGCCAGTACACCAGGCTTTCCTGTCACCGTCATTGTTCCGCGAGATGGAAGCTCAGATTTGTCCCGCTGGATCCAGTGGGAGAACTCTTCGGCACTGGAATGTGCGGGACCTCTGCGTCTCATGCGTGAGCGGTCACTCGGAGGACCACTTCCTGAAGAAGTGGGAAGCCTCTCTGGAACGCTGCTCTCAACCAGACCTGTCGAGGCTTCATGCCTTCCACATGACCAACAAGAAAATGGCGCCACACCAAACGTTGGTGCCTGTCTTTGGCAGCTTCAAGGCAGATGGGTTCAATGACATCTTGATACCCATGACGAGCAAGACGGACTCCGAGGCGGATTCGAACCGGGACTTCAAGACGCGTATCGACAAGCTTCACTGGCGGGGCGAACTCGGCGAACAAGTCATCAGTCACGACATGCTGCACGGCAATCACCGGCACAGGCTTCTCCACCAGGTCAACAATGCCACAAAGGGCGACGAGGTCACGATGTTGCTTCCGACGCCGAGCGACCCGAAGAGGTTCAGTCACGAAAGAGTGCATGCGCAAGAGGCCAATGCGGCACTTCCGTTCGATGTTGGCGTGTCGTCGTACCCGTCGTGCGAGGATGCCGGGTGCGCGGCGGCACGGCTCGAGTTTGGCGAGAAGGGCCAGGACGGCGACAGCGGAGAGCCGCTGAAGTATCGATACGTGCTGCTCCTCGACGACGACAGCTCGCCGCCGAAGCGACTCATGCAGACGCTGCGATCAGGGAGCGTGCCGGTGCTTTCGTCGATATTCCGGACGTGGTATACAGAGCGGCTATTGCCCTGGGTGCACTTTGTGCCGGTGGACATTCGGTTCCAGGCGCTACACAGCACGCTCGCCTACTTTACGGGTCTGGAGGGCCGTGTACCGGTCAATGGGCGAGAAATTAAGTTTGAAGGTCGAGTCAGTGACGCGAAATGGATCGCA